TCATAAGCATAATATACTTATCAAATTCAGGAAAGTTAATGTTTTTTGGTTTTTTTTTTTGTGAGGGAGGTCAGCCCTGAGCTAACATCCGTGCTAATCCTCCTTTTTTTGCTGAGGATGACCGGCTCTGAGCTGACATCTATTGCCAATCCTCCTCCTTTTTTTCTTCCCCAAAGCCCCAGCAGATGGTTGTATGTCATACTTGCACATCCTTCTAGTTGCTGTATGTGGGACGCGGCCTCAGCATGGCCAGAGAAGCAGTGCGTCGGTGCACGCCGGGGATCCAAACCTGGGCCGCCAGTAGCGGAGCACGTGCACTTAACTGCTAAGCCACCGGGCCGGCCCAGGAAAGTTAATGTTAATTCAGTACTATTGTCTACTCTACAGTCTGTATTTGAATTTTGCCAATTATCCCCATGGTGTCTTTATAGCATTTTATTTTTCCTAACCCAAAATCTAATCCAGGATGCCATATTGTATCCAGTTGTCACATCTCTTTACTCTTTCAAGATCTGGAAGAATGTCTCAGACTTTCTTTGTCCTTCCTGACACAGACATTTTTGAAGACTACAGGCCAGGTGTTTTGTAAAACGTCCCTCAATTTGGATTTGCCTCATATTTCTTAACAATTGGATTCAGGTTCTGCATTTTTTGCTAGGATTACCACAGAAGTGATGTTGTGTCCTTCTCAGTACATTATATCTGGAGCCACCTGATGTTGGTTTGCCCCATTACTGGTGATGTTAACTTTGATCACTTGGTTAAGATGGTGTCTGTTAGATTTCTCCACTGTAAAGTTGCTACTTTTCCTTGGTAATGAAAACATATCTTGTGGGGAGATACTTTAAAACTATAAAAATATCCTATTTGCACCCCCCTTGTCACCCCAATTTCACTGAATGGTTTTAACACCCATTCTTACCTGAATCCATTATTATTATGGTGATTGTAAACTGGTCATTTTTAAAGTCTACATTCCTTCTACAATTATTAGCTGGCTTTCCTATTGTAAAAGAACTTTTCCTGCTCTTCTTCCTCCTTTCCACCTCTCCTGCTTCCTCCTTCACTCTATGTCTCTCTCTAATATTTTCAGAATCAGTATGAGCTCCTAGGTTCTTTCTTTATTCAAGGCGTTAATCCAAAATGCCATTATTCGTTTTGATGCTCAAAGTCTCCCTGCTTTGGCCAGAGGGAATTCTTTTAAGCTGGTTCCTTGTCCTTTTGACAGCTTCCCATCATTCTGTGAGGACTTCCTTAATATCTGATGCAACAGATGTTCCAGCCTCATCTTGTGCTTTCCCTGCCCCAGCCTGGAATCAGCCATTTTCCAAGGAGTCCTGGTTCCTCTCCAAGGAGAGTGGAATTTAGAAGCCAAGATCTGGGTGTCAGGTGCTGGCCCCATGTTGAAGGTAGAGATAGCAGAATTTACAGACAGATTGCATGTAGGGTATAAGAGGAGAGGAGTCCCTATTCCCTTTAGCTTTTTAAGACATTGCTTCTCTGAAGTCTTTGCTAGACACTCTCTAAGGCTGAATCTAGCCCGTATTTTAGCAAGTATTCTATTATTTGAATTATTAATACACAAATATGTCTCTAAATGGAGCATAGTAATTAAATATCAGACACTGGTACTATCTGGGAGATATTTATCTTTGGCCTTGGGCCCTTACATCAACCTGGTTTTGAAGCTCATCTCTAGAACTTGCTGGTTGTCTGAGCCTTGGCAAGTCTCTTAGCTGTTTTGTTCCTCAGTTTCCTCACCTGTAAAATTAGAGTAATGAGAGGTATCTCACAGGGTTGTTCTGAAAAGTAAATGCTATTGGAATGTAAAGTGCTTGGCACTGAGTCTGGCCCATTCTGAACGCCGAGGGCAGGTAACTTAACCTCTCTGTACCTTGGCTCCTCACCTGTGAAATGGGCTTGCCGTGAGAAGCGGCTGGAATCACACACAGAGAACCTTCGGCTGTGGACCTGGTAAACGGTGAGTGTCAGTCCGTGGCTACTGCTACCAGAGTTTTCTAAGTATTGGTCTTCTGTGATGTCTTGAGGGCAACAACCGCCCCTTGTTCATACTTTCATCCTCTCTCCTTCCACTCCAGGCTCTATAGTCTGTCCGGTCAGACCCTGTTTCTTGAGTGCTTCAGGCCAGAGCCTGGACCCATCCACAGCCTCTCAGCTCTTCCCAGAGTCGGGGCCTGACAGAGAGCCTGAGGAACATACAACTCTGTCAGCAGCAATTTGGTTGAAATGACAATTTTGTCAAAAATGAATTTTGCTTCAGTGATTTTTTTAAAGATTGGGAAATTGGGGACCTTTGTGCAGTCTTATGAACATTTTTGCCGATTTTCTAGAATTAGAAAAAATTGTTTTAACCTCCAATTACTTTGCAGCCGATTATTCCTACTTTTCTGTTTACAGTAGCAAATTGTTGAAACAACTTAAATATCTGACAATGGAATGGTTTCCTTTCTTCCTTTCTTTTTCTTTCTTTTGTTCAGTAAAAAAAGAAAAATGCAGAACAGTATGTATAATAAAATCTAATATAATAAAATACATGCACGTATGCATATACCAGCCACTGTTACGGAGTGTCTCTCTGGTGGTGGAGGTATGGAGCCTTTCACTTTATACTCTCCTGACTGCTGGGAGAAGCAATGGACCATGGCCTTGAGCATCCCTGCACACTCTGGATAGTATACAAAGAATGCAAGGTCCTGGCCGCTCCATATCCAGGCCATTTCTCAGGGTGGTGTTTGCAGTGAGTAACTCTGAGGGATGAAGTAACGTCTCCCTTCAGGACAAACAGCAGGCTTGCTTCCCACCTGCTCGGAAGGAGGGAAAGTCCCCAAGCTCAGTGTTCCTCAGCTGTGGGATAAGCCCCTCGGTGTCACCCCTGTGGGACTTGAGGGCAGGGGGAACTAATGCAAACATAATGCTCTTACTGCTTGCTGTGCGGTGAGTAATGGATTCCTGTGTCTCTGACCCGGGGTCTCATGTCTTTGTGTCAGACTAACTTGGCTTGTGAGTGGGCACGATCCCGGGCTCCGACACTGGCTTGTTTCAATCATCCATCACATACATGTATTATTACTTTTATAATATAAAAATCAGTTTTGATTTTTTTTAAAGAAAGGCAAAAAACAAAACAAAACCAAACCAAAAAACCGTACACACACCAAAAGTCAAAGCTTACAAATTAGAGGAAAGTCAGGAAAGAGCAACCATCTAGAGAAGACAATAAAGTACTCATACTTATCCAAAGAGACTTGGTTAATTCCAGACTGCTTCCATCTTTCCAGTCTGTCGGGCTGGAAACTGTCTTTCCAAACTGTTTTCCATGTAGATTCCCATATCTTTATTAGTCTTCTACAAAAATAAGATCATAGTGTATGCAGTGCTTAGTTACCACCTTGAGTTAGTTATGCAGTCCACAACTGGGGGCCATTGTAGTGACCCCCAGCTCCTTGAGAAGTTGTCAAGAGCTCCTCAGGGATCACACACAGCTTGAAAAGGCTTTCACTGCCCCCAGCCAGAGTTGGGGGCTTCCTTTTGCCCTGGTACTTCCCGGGAGCTTTTGGGGCAGTGCCACCCTGGTTCCTGGCCTAACAGGTTGGGGATCACAAATGCTAAGAAACCACCTCCCCCTCCCATCTCCTTTTCCACACCCCTTAGCTCTCAAGCATACATTCCCATCACCCCCGCTCTGACCCCTATCCTTATCCCAGCCTCACCCCTTGCCATCCCATTCCCCAGCTAAGACGCAGGAATCCCCGTTCTAGATCCCCCCAATCCCCACCTGCCTCAGCTGAGACCCCAGACACCCTAGCACCATCTCAGACTCCGGAAAGAGATGGTAGGGCAGCTGTGGGAACAGGGCGGGTGGAGCAGGATGCTAGGGTGGGGTGGGGTGGGTGGAGCCCTGGGCCACTTCCTTTCCTCCTGGGGCCCTGTCCGCTCAGTCCCGCCCCAGCTTCAAGAGGAGTTGGAGCAACCTGGCCCCAGCCCTGTGCCCTTAACAAGTGAGCTGGTAAGTGGGTGCAACTTGGTGGGGCAGGGGCCTCTGTGGACCTGGGAACGTGCCTGTGGCCTGACAAGACCCTGATAGGTGATGGGAAAAGAGGATCAGGAGCCACTGGGGCTGAATCGGGTCAGGAAAGGCCAGAAGGCATGGCCATTGCTGGAGTCCAAGCTGTCAAGGCCTGAGCGGGGGCCATGGGATGGAATTGATGGGGGACCTGCCAGCATCTGTTCCCTTGTTATTTCTGATAACAGTAAAAGGAAGGGTGGAAAAGCCGTTAAACCTCAAGTTAGGCCCGGCAGTTGGCAGGGAAGTGGGCAGGAGGGGAGGGCCTGGTTAGGTCCTCCCCCGGATCCTTATGTGTTCTGTTTCTCCAACTTCCCCACCCTCAGGTCCCAACTCCTACTCATGCCTGTTGCCATGAAAATGACTCTGCTTCTCCTCCTCTTTGGCGGCCTCTGGACCCAAGAGGTGAACTCTCATATTCCGGAGAGCACAACCATGTTGCAGATGTCTGCATCCAGAAATTCCCCTATTTCTTTGGTCTCAAATAACACTGAGGCCCCAAACCTCAACTCAGTGACCTCCAACCCTATAACAACAAGGGACTCAGAGAAGGGTGATGGCACCAGGTACCAGACCTCCCCACTTTCTTCAACTCCCTATACACCCAAAGAGTTGTCCATTTCCGGGACTTCCATTGCTGCCAGCAGTGGCTTCCCCATCTCAGAGAAGGGTGATGGCACCAGGTACCAGACCTCCCCACTTTCTTCAGCTCCCTATACACCCAATGAGCTGTCCATTCCCGGGACTTCCATTGCTGCCAGCAGTGGCTTCCCCGTAACCGAGCCAACAACCTCCCAGGAAGTTTCCACCAAGAAGTCATCAATACTCCTGGAAACCCTTAATGAAACCACTAGCCCTGTGGTACCAACGATGAGCTCTCTGGACCTCCACATTACGACTGTTGGAACCAGGGTACCTAGCTTTCTGGAGACCTCCAGTGTGACCAGTGGACCCCCTGTCACCATGGCAACTAGCTCTCTGGAGACCTCCAAGGGAACCAGTGAACTTTCTGTTACCATGACAACTATCTCTCTGAAGACCCCCAAGGGGACCAGTAGCTCCCCCAGCTCCGCAGTAAAAATATCCACCGGGACTACCTCAAACACCTCCGCAATCGCAAACAGTGGTGGGCTCTCAAATCAGGGAACAAATGGCACCCTGCTGGTGGCTGTCCTTGCAGCCCTGCTGGTGGTCATTGTCCTCTTGATACTACTTGTGCTGTGGCGCAGGAGGCAGAAGCAGAGGACCGGGATCCTGATGCTAAGCAGGGGTGGAAAGTGCAATGGGGCAGTAGATGCCTGGGCTGGGCCAGTCCAGGAGAATGATGAGGAGGCCATGACAGCAACAATGAGAGTGTCTGGGGGCGACAAGAGCTCTGGGGTCCCTGAAGGGGAGGGGTCTGGCCGGCGGCCCACACTCACCACTTTCTTCGGTAGAAAGAAGTCTCACGAGGGCTCCTTGGCACTGGAGGAGCTAAAGCCTGGGTCAGCCTCCAGCCTAAAGGGAGAGGAAGAGCCGCTGGTCGGCAGCGAAGATGGGGCTGTGGAGGTCCCCGATTCTGTGGACCAAAAGTGAGAGATGTGGAGGCCCCTTAGCGCTTGTGAATAACAAGACTGGAGATCAGAATCATTTTTAGCTTTCATCACCTTCCCTCCTATCATCACTTCCAGCCCCATTGTCACCCAGCATCCTTTGGATTTTCACCCAGCATCTTCACTCTGAATCCTCATCCAGCTTCTTAACCCCGGATCTTCCGGCCAGCATCTGCACCCAGCATCTAGGCCAGGGCCTGCACCCACTTAACACTTGTAGACTGAATGCATAAGTCTTCCTCATCAACCCTTACTTCTCCCAATCACCTCTTTCTCCATGTTTTTGTCCTTGAAACCAGCTACTGGCTCTCCATAATGCCAAACTTCCTTGACCTATGAGTTCTCAGAGGATTCCCCAGCGATACCAGAGTCTGGGAAGAAGGAAATGACAACCCAGCACATTCTTCCCTAGGATTACTCTGGAAAGTACATTTGGACTCATAGATTAGGACAGTCCTACTGGGTCAGCCCATGAGCCTCCTTTAACTCTGGGCCCCAGTGCTCTGTGCCAGGCCAGCCTGGAGCATGGGCTGGGTGGCGTCACCTCGCTGTGCTCTCAGGTGTGCCTGTGACAGTACCTGGACTCTAGGCTTGCCTGTGGGCCAGGCCACTGAACTCTCCCTCACCTCCGGACTGAGGCAGCCAGAGGCTTCAGCTATTTCTCCTCCCAAGGGCAGAGGTAAGAGGAGTTTCCGAGCAGGTGCAGTTCTCAGAAGCCCCAGCACCTATGTGGGTCCATTCACGGGTGCGGTTTGTGAAGGGTGGTGGTGAGTACAGACGGCGTGAGGGAGGCGGGCAGGAAGGGCTGCAGAGGCTGAGGAGATGCCAACCTGAGGAACCGCTGAGAACATGTGTGCCCTCATCTTTGCTCAGCTGGGGTGGAGGCAGTAGAAGATTAAACTCTGTCTGCAGCCCAATAAAGAACGCCGGCTTGATAGAAAGACTGCATGTGTGACCCGAGTGTGGCTCTTCAGCTCAGCAGATGTGTCCCTTCCTCAAACCTCTGCCACTCCAACACGAGGCAAGGGGAGAGGAGACCCAATAGCAGGGTCTTGCTGATGCTGTGACATGTTTAATTTGTTTGTCCGTATCTCCTCTTCCGTTCTCCAAGGGGAATCAATGAGAGTGAGCTAAATGAGGAGCAGTGACAGGCCTGTAGAACCAGGGGCTTCCCCTGTGGCTCTGGGATGGAGAGGAGGGGACAAGACCCACCTGCGCTGTCTCTGAGTCCTGCCCAGACCAGAGCCCAGGGGGCCACACGGGCCACCGGCAGTTGGTATTTCCCCAGGGGAAAGGAAATTTGCAAAGAGGAAGTCGTTGAGTCAGAGGTTGCAGTGGCCGAGAGCAGACAGACTGACCTACAAAAAGACAAGCTGATGGGAACCGCAGGAGTGTGACTGCCATGTGGCCTGGACTGGCGGGGAGGCAGGAGATAGGGAAAGGGCTCTAGTGGGTCAGTTCATGGTGGGGATGAGGGGGAGAAGAGGCGGAAAGTGGTCATGGATCCACCCGGCCACCATGGAGTTGTGCCACCTGTGCCTGGTCCATGGGGACAGGCAGAGCTAGGGTGAAAGTCCACCCCTCGCCAGTCAGGATGGGCACCCACAGGGCCACGTCTGGGCGCCTTTGCCGCCTCCTCACAAGATGCAGTCTGGGCTAACTGTAGCCCCAGCACAGCAGAAGTGAGCTCCAAAGGTCCCTTAGGGATACTGCAACTGTCTTAGATCTGTCAAACCAAGGGCCCCAATTTCAGGTTTAGAAAACATTGTCGCTGATCTGAGGCCCTCAGCTTCCCTCCTCCCCCTCACTGGACACATGCAGTTGTTTTCTGAACCATGACTAGATTCTGGGTCCTGGGCGAATCCTGAAGTAAATGAAGTGGGGGTGGGTAAGGCACTCATTAGAGTTATCACAGCCCAGAAAATATCAAAATATGTGACAAGTTCAAATAGAGACACCAACAAAATTTTATGAGTGCATAAAAAGAAGGGAGTGCTGGGCCGGGCCCGTGGCTTAGCAGTTAAGTGCGCTCACTCCGCTGCTGGCGGCCCAGGTTCGGATCCCGGGCGTGCACCGACGCACTGCTTCTCCAGCCATGCTGAGGTCGCGTCCCACATACAGCAACTAGAAGGATGTGCAGCTATGACATACAACTATCTACTGGGGCTTTGGGGGAAAAATAAATAAATAAAATTAAAAAAAGAAGGGAGTGCTGCACTGCTCCTGGGGAGAGGGTAGGAGGCTCCCCCCAAGAGTTTAAGTTGCACAGGGTCTTTGTCATATTCACTGCTATGCTGGTGGCTATTGTGCCCAGCATGTAGTAGATCCTCAGTAAATATTCATTTGAATGAATGAATGAATGAATGAATGGAGATGACTTCTCACAGATTATGGAGGCTGAGAAGGATTTTGCCAGGCTGAAAGGTGGGAAGGTCACCGTCAACGGAGGAGATTTGCACAGGCCCAGTAAGGCAGTCCAGTGTAGATTCTTCTTTGGACAAACACAGAATGGATGACTTTCAATTCTCTAGAGGGAAAAAAAGCAAAGGAAGCAGTAGATTTTATAAGACCAAAAGGAAAAAAAAAGGAGAGGAATAAGGAACAATAAGGAAATATAAAATATGGTGATGAAAGGACCAAACATATTAGTTATGAAAATAATTGTAAATGGCTTATTACACTTATCATAATTGCTAAAAATCATGTTTTCAAAAACTATGTAATGACTTTGAAAAGTGTCTACAATATAATGTTAAGTGGAGAAAAAAGCTAGTCACTGATCTGTAAATACATGTGACTCTAATTCTGTAATAAAAAAACTTGGATTTTTATAGAAAAAAAGATTTGAAGGAAGTATCCTAAATGTTTATTGTGGTTGTCTGTAAGGTGATAGGTTTACGGGTGATTTTTATTTTGTTTATACTTTTCTATATTTTCCAAATTTTATACACTAAATATCTATCACTTTTACAATTAGAAAAAATATTAACAAAAAGATGTTTACCGGGGGGTTGGGGGTGTCTGGTTTAAGGAGAGGTTTGTGGGAGCTGAGAGGCTGGAAAGGGAGATGGGAGCCATGCTACCAGGGCTCACAGTTTGAATTCCCTTCTGACAGCAGTGGGGAAATCAGCAAACCTTGTCTGCTCTCCTCTCTTCCTGGGCCTCAGCAAGTGGTAGATACCACCACTGGGCAAAACGTGTTAGAACCCCCATCAAGCCCATCTCTCTCCCCTGTCATCGCTCCCCGGGTGTCAAGTTCAGCTGATTCTTCTTCTTCCACAGTCCCTGAGCCATTCCTTCTCTACAGACCCCATCACACCTCACCTGGTCCTGCTGAGACTTCCCTTTTGGTCTCCTGATCCCTATCCCTTCCACCCTCTGCCCGTGATGGTCCCAATGCCCCTTCTAAAAGGCCTCTCTGTCCAGATTACCCCTGCACCCACTAAGGCCATCAGGATAGAGCCCACCTTCCTTAGCATGGAGGATAAGACCCCTTGAAGAGCTGGCTCTGCCTGGTCAGCCCTTGGCCCAAACACTGTAGGCCCTCGAGCCTCATCAAATTCCTTGTAGTTCCCTGAATATGCCAGGTGTTTTTCTTGGTGTGTGTGTAGGGGTATAGTTTAAAATGTTGAAAATATTTATCTTGTCCAGACTTTTTTACAGTTTTACAATTAACTTTTTATAGTTAATTACCTCTTTTGCAAAAGTTAATTACCAGCACATTCTAGTTTCTTAAATAACAGGATTCACACACACAATCATGTACCGTGTATTATGCTTCACCTTTTATTTTAAAACACATACTTCTGTTTTATTCTCAAAAGAGCACAAATAAAGCTTTGTCATCCAAAATGAAAATTCCAGATGGAAGAAGGATTTGGATGGGGAAGGTCTTGAGAAATCTGTTAATGCAAGTCACTTTTGTAGACAGGAAAAGGGCCTCTATGCATGGTTCTAAGGACATTTCATTTCTAAAAATGGACACAACATCTAAGTTTCCTCTGCATCCCCATTTCTGACCCTTACTCACGTTCAGTTCGGCAGGCAGAACCTATGAAAGATGGGCTACCTGGCAGCTACAGGCAGAGTTGAGCCGTTGGGCTGAGAGAATGGGAAATAGAACCCATCCCTGAACTCCAAGCTCAGTGACTGTGCCAGAAGGCAGATCAAGCCAGGACTGTTAACAGGACAAGAGAGGAATATAATCAGAAGGTTCGAAGATTCCCTAAGTAGTAACAAAAGTAGACCCCAATCAAGAGCAGAGAGAAAACTTTCAAACTCTAAGGTAGAAGAGCCCACACAGTGGGTGACTGTTCTGTTCTGGGGATGTTTGGGGTAGAGCCATTAGACATCAGAGCCACAGTATTTTGGAGACAATCTACCTGCTCCTGACAATGAGCTGCAGATGGGTGCCTGTGTGCCTCAGCCCCCTAGGATGCTCGGCATCTGCCTGCCCAGCTTGTGGCATCGGGACATCCTAGCTGGACCATGGCCCAGATCCCAGGAGGTGTTGGCCCTGCAGAAGGCCACATACTCCCTCCTGCATTTGTGCACACTGTGCCTGAAGATGGCCCACCCCCAGCTTGTCCCACAACACAAACATCTTGACTTCCTGCAACTCCTCCTCAACAGTCAAGATTTAGCTCAAATGTCACTGCTTAGAGAAGCTGCCCTCGCTGCCCCCGCCCCAAGCAGACATAGTGTTTCTTCTCCACTCCTACAGCACAAACAACTGGCTGTAATTATGTGAAGGTGTCCCTCACTCATTAGACTGTAACCCCTCCAAGTCCGAGTGTCACCTTGGTGGCTCCAGCGTCCAGGGCCCGGCACATAGTGGCAACCTAATACATGTTCACTGAATGGAGGGGTAAATGAATTAATGAATAAACAAACAATGGTTTTTAAGTAAACGTATAGCAAGATGAGATCTATCTTTTGAGTGAAGCTGGCATCCAGGAGGATGGCCTGAAGGCAGTGTGGCCCAGGCCCAAGATGAGAGTGTCATTCTAGTCCCAGTTAGATACGGTGCGAGTCTAGCCTAAGTAGCCTAAGGTGAAAGAAGAGGTCAGATTTGAAATATATTTATTCAGAGAATAAGATTTTCTAAAAATTACTGATTATTTTATTAAAATAGTAAAAAATAAAATAATAAAATAAAATAAAATTTTATTTTATTTATTAAATTTTTTTTTTTCAGAGAATAAGATTTTAGAACTAATTGGCTGTTAGAGGGGATGGGGGAAAATGAGATCACACTTCAAGTTTTCTATCTTGGGAGATTGGGGAGATGCTGACATCCTCACGTGGAAATGCAGAGAGATGAGCAGTTTTGGGGGAAAACATAATGAGTTCATTTTTAGAACTGTCAGGAGGGATGTTTTGGAGATGGTTAGAGTAGAGATAGGGAACTTGGGAGGGAGATCAGAGCCGGTATAGCGTAAGCCCTGACAGTTGTTGTTTTTTTCTTGTTTTTTGTAATGCAAGTGCCTGACTTAAGTTTTGATTGCCTAGGCATCCACTTCAAAGAGGCATCCGCTTCAAAGAGGGCTATCTCAAATAAACACAGTGCCTGTCACCAACTAGATAAGGAACCAGGCCGCCTCATCTGCTGAGTCTCTTTTGTTTTAGAGATTTCGGTTAATTTCAATAACTGATCATCTGGGTCGCTGTTTTTTTTCCTCTTCCTGTGCTTTAAATTCCCGCTCTTCTGTTTTAAACGCACCAATAAAGAGTTAGCCCACGAAATCCTAGGCCCCCCGGCCTCAACCCCAATAAAAGCCCAACCCCAGGCCTGTTTCCCCTTTTTCTCTCCCCCCAACAAGCCGCCTGTGTGGCCCCAGGTGTGCTATGTAATTTCCAGGTCTTGTAACTAATAAACCTTTATTTTTTCAAAGTTTCCTGATGGTTATTGCTAAAGGACGTCTTGCAATCATAATAAGAACCACAAGAGGTGGTCCAGCCACGCCATTGCTTATTGATAGGCCGAGACCCACACTAAACAGCTGGAGATATAGATTTGAGAGTCATCTGACATTAGATAGCAATTTAAATAATGGCATAGGGGGACAAATGCACAAGCTATATCATTTACTGTGTAGAATGAGAAAAGGAGAGAGCTGTGGAGAGAATCTTAGTGTGTTAGTCAGGGCAGGCTAACTGCTGTAACAAAACAAACTGTTTTGTTACCCCAAACAACCCCAAACTCTCAGGGGTATAACTCAAGAGAAGTTTTTTCCTTGCTTACGTAACAGTCCAATCCTGGCATTTGGTGGGTGACTTTCCATAATGTCATTCAGGGACCCAGAGTCCATTTTGTGGCTCTGTCAATTCCTAGGGAGGAGAGAGAGGGAAGGGTCACAGGAAGGCTTTCATGGGCCAGGTCTGGAATTGGCACGTATTACTTTTGCCCACCTCCCGTTGGACAGAATTCAGTCACATGAGAGCCACAGTGCAAAGGAAGCTGGGAAATGTAGTTTAGCTGTGTGCCCAGAAGAAAAAGAGAAACAATCCCATCACACTGAGGAAACACTGAAATTTGAGAGTTGGATGTAGGAAAAAGGACCGGCAAGAGATAGCAAAGAGCCTTTAAGAGAGAAAGCAGGAGAAAATGACGTCTAGGAAAAAAAGGGAGAAAATAGTTTGGAGAAGGGCTGTCAGGAGCAGTCCCCGACTAGAGTGAGGCGAGCAAGGTGCCGAGGTGCAAAATGGAAGCTGAGAGTGAGGCCTCCTTCCATTTTGCACCCCAGGACCCCTGCTTGTCTCGCCTGAGTCCCAGTTCTGGCAGGGTCACCTGCTGCAGAGGAAGAAACGGGAGAAGGCTGGGAAGATGGCAGTGGATTTGGCAATCAGTGACTCGAGCAAGCAGTTTCCCACGAAGAAATGGAGTCCCCAGCAGTTCTTGGACAGGAACGTGCCTGAAGTCCCAGTACAGGTTACTGGCAATTTCCCAGTTTTCCCATTCAGAAGTCTGGCTCTGATCTGCCTGTGCCCTTAAAGTACCTTGGAAAGAGGGAAGAGAAGGAAGGTGGACATTTGTTAAGTTTCTACTCCATGTTACTCGCAGAGTTTTCTCACTCGATTCTCAGTTGAACCTGCGAGGTAGGTCTTAGCCCATTTCACAGCTAAGGAAACTGAGGCGCAGAACAAAGTAAAAAGGTGCTTGAGATAAAAAGGATAGAATTAGGATTTTCCCAGTGCACCGTCAAAGAGACTTTCCAGCCCTCACAAGGGAGCAGATTCTTACATTTGCAGCCTCACACCCTGGGGCAGGGCAGAGGAGGGCTGGGGATGTGGAGAGAACAGGGCCTCCGGTCAGAGAGGAGATGACTTCTGAGTTACATAACTGAGAGCTCCTCCTCTGACGATGGAAGGGAAATAAGGTGTGTACAGCCCGAGGGGTCCTGGAGGAGGGCGGGAGGGGGAGCCCCAGAGAACCTGGGAAGGCTGGCTAGACCGGCCCCTCCTCCCTTCCCTCTGGGAGCCCCACCTCCACCTCCAGCCTCTCCAAACACTGGATCTGAGCAGTGGACACACCAGCCCGGCAGCTGTGAGCTGTCATGGACCCTGAAGGTAAAGGAGCCTTCCAGACTTTTCTCCCCAGTGTCCCTGCACCACCCTCTCCTGCTCCTCTCTCCATCTCAATTTCTGTCAGTCTTTTATCTCCTCACCCCCACGGGAAGGCCAAGTCTCCTCTGGTCTCCATCTAACTCTATTACCTCCCCACCTCCCTCCAACCTCTCTGAACCCTAAGCACTCCTTTCTGTCCTCCAAAGGCCTCTTCTCACTCTTCTCTCTCCTTCTATGTTGGGTCCCTGGTGAGCTCTGGGGAAGAAAAGGGCTTGAGGCCCAGGAAAGGCCTGGAGGAGGGTGCTTCCCCTGGGGGCTAAAGGGGACGGGTAGTGGGAGGCTGGAGGAGGAACAGCTCTGGACTTTGCCCCTTGCTGGCAGCTCTGGAGGAGCAGAGGCAAAGTCCTGTTCAGCTGCGCAGGGTGGGGGAGGGGGCTTGAATGCAGTGATTCTCTGGCGGGGAGGGGAAGGGGGCGGGTATCGGGGTGAGGTCGCTAAGGAGGCTGTATGTAGAATGATAGGGGCCAGGCTCTGGAGTCCAGAGGCTCCTGTTTGAATCCCAGCTCTACCAGGAACAGGCTGTGTGACCTTAGGCAGGTCACCTGACTTCTCAGAGCCTCATTTCCCTGCATTGCAAAATGACTATAATAGTCCCCTGCTCATAAGGTTGTGGGGAGGACGAATGACATGATGCATGGAAGGTGCCTGGCTAGTGCCTGGAGACAGGAGGCCCTCCTTGAGCTCTCTGCATTTTCACTTTCCCCTCCCTGGGCTTCTTCCCCAGCTCTGACCTCCCTCCCCTGGTTTGGGGCTTCTACTGGCCAAACACACACACATACACACACACACACACACACACACACACACACACACACACGGCCCCTCTGGCTTGGCCATGAAACCAGTTCTTGGTTTAGAAACAACCTCAGAGTCAGAGCCTGGGTTCAGATCCCATCCCTGCCACCTGCTAGCTGTGTGACCTGGGACAAGATGCTCAGCCTTGCTGTGCTTTGGTTTCCTCCTTGGTGGTGATTTATGTTGGTGATGTGGTTGATTCCTCACATCTTTGTCTCCAGCTCTGAGCCCTCCCCAGCTTCCAGTTCCATTTTGGGAAGCCCTGGGGGTCCATCTCCACCTAGACATCTCCCCAGCGTGCTGAACTCAAAGTCTCCCCCCTCCACCAGCTCCATTTCTCTTCTTGTCTCACCGTCCTCCTACTCAGACCAGAAACCTCGGGGTCACCTTTGACGGCTCACTCTCCCTCGCACACCGATAGCCAGACAGTTGCCACGTCCTATGGACTTACCTTCACAGCATCAGCTGAGCCTCTTCCCTCTCTGTTCTCACCTCCTTCTGAGAGAGCAGCCTGGTGGAGGCTGCCTTTGCATCACTGCCTTCGTGTGCACGACAACACGTGATGTTGAGTTCCGGGCCAAGCAGAAGGGCAGGCGCTGGGATCACTGCCCCATGGGAGTTAAGCCAGCAGGGAGTACACAAGTCAAGTGGGGGAGGCAAAGCTGGGGAAGTGGGGGAAAGAAGGCACGAGGACAGAGTTGGGGCAGAAGCAGATGGCAGGCCGGTGGGCAAATGCCAAGAGGTCAGACTTGACAAGGCCAAGGTGTGAGAGGGTGCGGCCAGGGCAGGAAGTCTGTGGCGTGGGGTGCAGGGTGGTGTGCCCTTTTCTTAAAGCCTGGGGGGGCTGCCCTCCCATTACACTTTACCCTGGCTCACTGCTTCTTGCCCAGGCTGTTGCAACAGCCTCCCAACTTACATCTTTCAAGAACCCTAGACACAATTTAAATTTCAAAGTGCATTTTTGATCATGTGACTTCTGATCAAAAGTTTTACTGACTTCCCATTGCCTACTGAAGAACACCCTGACTCTTTCCCGTCATTCAAGGCCTGCTCAGTCTGGCCCCATCCTACGATCAGCCTTCTCTCTTGCTACGCTGCGTGTCTAAGATTGTGCACCTTCACCCACATATGCTCCGTGCCTCTCACTGCCAGGCCTTTGCTCTCTCCATTCTCTCCGCCTGGCAACCATCCTCTCCTGTCCTCTGCCAACCTATTCTCAGAGCCAACCTTTTGGAGCCTCCTCGTATTGCTCTCATACCTTAACGACAGGTCATCTCTCCCCGCTCTGAAATTCTGTAGATCGTTCTACCACCTGTGTGATGGGCAATCCCATTTGGCCCTATTTGGAGATCATTTCTCTTCTCCAGGGAGAAAAGGGGGATAGAAAGCACATTTCTCTGGAAGCTGCTAACCAGCCTCTGTCTCCATCTGGTGTTTGCCGAATGGATCAACAAATAAATAGGTTGAAGAACAAAGCTGCCAGAGTCTGACACCTGGGTTCAAAGGCATCTGGCCAGGCCTTGGCTCAGACATCTCATTCCCTCCTCATGGCAGCCCTGTGATTTCCTTGTGAAACACTCTCAGAAAGGTCAGCAAATTGCTTAAGGTCACCCAGGTGGTGGAGCCGGGGTTCAAACCCAGGCATTTCGTACTCCCAATCCAGGCTGTTCCTACTACACCAGGGACAGAGCCCTGGAACCGACTGTGGCTTGCAGAACTCTGTGAATATTAACTAATAAACATATAATAATTTAAAAATACAACTTAGTGATAGATTAAATGGCGGTGTGGTGAGGTAGGGTAAGTTGAGGGAACTCTGGAGCCAGCCTGCCTGGGCTTATGATCCTGACTCCACATTTCCCAGCTGTGTGGACTTTTGGGCAAGTCACTTGCCCTTTCAGTGCCTCAGTTTCCTTATCTGTAAAATGGGGATAATAATAGCACCCCCATAGGGTTGTTTGAGGATTAAATGTGTTAATATACATGAAATGCTTGGAACAGTGCCTAGGAAGGACTGTAAAACTGTCAGCTGTTATTATTATTACACATTATGTCATTCTGGATTCTATTATAGACAAGTGGTAGTAGGCACCAGAGTTTTAAGAAAAATTTATAAAGGCAAAACCTTTAAAATTGACAACATCTATCTAAGTTAATTTTTCCCTGTAAATTGGGGGAAACCATCATTACTTGGTTTTAGCTGGAAGACTTTGTCAGCCTCACATATACCACTGTGGCTGCAAGCACAGGCCACGTTGTTACACATAAAATTAAGAACAAAGACTTGTGTTCATTTTAGGTGCATTTGCAGAGCCTCCCTCTGCGCATCCATCAAAGGCACGAACAAGTGCTTGTTAAATCACTGAAGCAAAGAGGAAGGGATGCGGTTTCTGATTCTGGCGAGTGCCTCCGGGCAAGGAGCCCCAGTCTAGTTAGGGCAACACAGAGACAGTAAAAATCAGCCACAGTCCAGACGAGAAGCACAGAAGTACCAGGGAAGGGGGGCAAATCTCCATATATCCTGTAAGTTATCTGTATCTTTTTACATTGTTTGTAAAGAGAGACGTGCAGGAAATATCCCAAGATGCTTTGGATCCCCTCAAAAACAGAGATGCGACTTTTAATAAATTCTGGACAACCGATTAAGAAAGCATTGCCTTGAGAGATCAAGGTTACGCTCCACAGAATAAAATATACTCTCTGAAGGCAGGCATCCTGAGAGAACGCGACATGTCACAACTGCGAGGATAGAAAGCAGACAGGACGTTCCAGCTGTTCCCGCCGAGCAGCAGCAGCTTGGCAAGGTCTCTGGACCAGCTCTCCTCAGGCAGCTGCAAAAACAGCCCTCCCCCTCTCTGCAGTTCCTTCCAGCAACAGCTGCTCGTGAGGAGAGCCCGCGCTTTCAAAGCAACCCACAGGAATCCCTTTTGTTAGATATGCATGAGAGAGTGAGGGCCTAAAGAAAACCAGAGGTATTTATTTTTCACAAACGGAACGTGGCGCGTGCGACATTCTGCCTCCACAATAGGTAATCAGAACAAGTAATCTCAAAGACGGGAGCAAGAGAGGAGCCCCTGCTGGTGGAGGCAGTGTGGGGTTCGAAAAGTACCCGGCTGTGGAGAGGGAAGACCAGGCTCCACGCTGATCATTTTCTAGCTTGATCGTTTTCTAGCTCTGCTCTTTAGGTAACTTCCCCTTTCATTTCTGAGCGTCAGTTCTCCATCTATAAATATAAATGATACCTACTTCGAAGAATTGGAGGAAGGACTTGTGACAAAGTATAGCAAGTGCCTGCCATATGGTAGGCACCGAGGTGTGGTAGCTATTATTCTCTTCCGCAGTTCAGAAGCTCTCAACCCTGTGATAAATTAGAACTATGTTACCACATTCCAGACCAGTTATATCAGAACCTCTGGGGGTGGGGCCCCAGCATTAGCGTTTGGCAAACTCCCCAGATATTTCCATCGTGCAGCTGAGGTTGAGAACCACTGCTCTACCATCCTAAAAAACTCTCCTGGACCCTATCTCAAGGGAGGGCTCTCTCTCTCTTTATTTATCTATTTATTTTACTTTTTTACTATAGAGAATTTCAAACATACACAAAAGTAGACAGAAAAGTATGATGCAGCCTCATGGACCCGTCACCCAGCCTCAGCAACCATCAACTTTTGGCCAGTCCGGCCCCCTCCACATCCCTTCTACTTTCTACTTTCCGGGGTTACCTTAAAGTAAAACCAGCTCTCAAATCTTTTCATACATGAACATCCCACCATTTTATTATTATTATTATTATTTTTAAACATTTTATAATTTTATTTATTTACTTTTTCCCCCAAAGCCCCAGTAGATAGTTGTATGTCATAGCTGCACATCCTTCTAGTTGCTGTACGTGGGATGTGGCCTCAGCATGGCCGGAGAAGCGGTGCGTCAGTGCACGCCCAGGATCCGAACCCGGGCCACCAGCAGTGGAGCACGAGCACTTAACCGCTAAGCCACGGGGCCGGCCCCATTTTATTATTTTTTAAAAGATAAGGACTTTTCTTTTTATTACAACCACAATACAATGATTAACAATTAACTTTTTGAAAATTTCCTTAATGTTATCAAATATCTAGTCAGTGGGCAGATCTTCAGTGGTTTCATAAATA